AATATAAAGAAGAAAGAGGTGATGAAAGTAACCAACTAACTAACTAACTAGCTAACTAGCCAACAACAACAGCAACAACTAGGAGAAGCACCAATCCCCCTCAACGGGGGAAATTTGAAAGGGGTAACTGTCTTTACTTATCTGGGGCAGTATCGTTTCAACACTATGAAATCAATTTGGAAATCTACTTCATTCATCATAAAGAACAAGAGTTGGATTTTCAACACTAATGTCAAGTCAGTCGCTGGTTCCTTACTGAAATTCACATGGTCAAACACGATTAGCAACAAGGAACTCTAGCATCGAACTAACCAAGAAAGTATTGGCTAACACATCCATAGAAGCTAAATGGAAATGGATCAAATACACGCTGAGGAGACCGCTGGTTGACATCACGCACCGTATCCTCAAGCAGAATCCGAATGGAAAACAGCCAGTTGGAACCACAAGGGTGACGTGGAGGGGGATAGTCTGAGGAGAAGATGAGGGCTTATTGGTAAATATGGAGCCAGCTAAGGAGAACTGCATAGAATAGGACGGAATGGAGCCTCATGTTTCACTCGGAACCAAAAAGAATGATAAACATTTTATTCACATAAATACATAAGAGGGTAAATAAAAACAATAGAATGAAACTCGGTCACTAGACATTTATTTTCACGTATTCGTCTAATGAATCGACTATGATACTAATCGATCATCTAGGTCATATGAGTTACAAACGCATATTCTTGAAAAGTGTTCACTTAATTGACTGAGTTACACCTCCACGCACACATACACATACACAGGAACAAGCCCAACATAAAAATAGAATAATAACCCCCTGGCCTACACATAAATCTGAATAAACAACAAACATCTTTACATTTGTATTATTAAGGGGCCATTAAAATTAAAGTGTTATAACATTTAATTGAGTGATATATGAATTCATCTAACGTACAATAAATCAGACGATAAAATATCTATGTATGATAAAATGTAGAACATAGGTAGTATATCCTTATTCGTAAAGATTTATTCACGTTTAGGCTGAGTGATAGAGAGAAAAATGCTTTTCAAATATTTCAACTTTGACTAGTCAACTAAATATGTCCAAAAATATTATTTTTGGTTACACCATTCTCATTCAGTTATCATTTCAGCACTTTTTATTGTACTTTAGTAACTAAAATGATATAATTTGAAATTTATGATTCATTTGCTGTCTAGACAGCAAAATAATATGCTTTAATGAATCCACTTTTTAGAAATAAACTGTTTTCCTAATTATTTTATTTAGTAGGTTAAAACTTCACTGATTTTTCATAATTAAAACTTTACCGCCAAAATTAACTTCAATTGTTGTTACGATCAGTAGACTAGAACAAAATTTCGGTAAAAGAATTATGTCCTGGAGTTCTAACCCAGGACCTTCCGGCTACAATGTAAGTTTGTATACCATCCAACCGCTGAGGCCCAATTCAATGGATTAGGATTCTTACAAACCAAACTCTTGAAAATTAATCTAATGCTTGCTAGTGACTTGCTACAGGACAGAGTTTCCTGGAGTTTTAGTGAGATGTCGTAACAAGTGAGGTATATCCAGTCAAGTGTGAGGATGTATTTCCCACTGATGAAATTGGTTGGTGGTCGCGCTAAAATCATGAATTGGCAGAAGTTAGAATTCATGGGCCATTGGATCGGGCTCCAGTGGCTGAATGGTATACGAGCTTGTCTTGTAACCGGAAGATCCTGGGTTCGACTCCCAATGGGTGTGTACTGCCGATGATCCCCAAGATGGGATGAAGCAGCTCTCCAGAACTCACTGGTTTTCAATGGTTCTCTAATTGATATCAATCCGTGGTCAAACTCAAATCAATTTTTGAAAAGAATTATAGAACGTGGAAATATTTCACATTCGGATTGGTGTAATGGAACTGATTAGCTTTATTTCAGATAGGCTTCAATTCTCACAGTAAGGATAGACTACATCTTGAAAAGATAGCTTCTGTACCAAAGAATGATATCTTTATTAAACTACCTCCATTCAAGAGTGATCAAATTATGCAGTTGACAACTCGACGACTTCGGCCAGCCATCAAGCACAGATTCTACGCCGCATCTCTTTCCCTCATATCTCGAACATTTCCGATTCTTATACCTACGATTAAAGGACGAAATTCTGTGAACTCTACCTCAAACTGTATCTACAAATTCACCTGCAGTTGCGGTGACACTTATATAGGCAAAAACAATAGAATTTTCCAATGTCGTCGGAAAGAACGCGTCTCAAAATGGTTATTACGCCACAGAAAATCACAATGCAATCAATCTGAATACAAATCTGTCATCATCCATTGCAAAGCACTTATCAATTTTAGGTCACAAAATCAATATTAATGACTACTTCACAATTATTTCACATAGATCTAATTCAAGGTTATTAAAGGTGATGAAAGCACTTTGGATCAATCACACACGTCTTAAACTATGTGTACAAAAAACAATAGACTTCAACCTTCGCCTATCATGGACTACTTGACCTACTTAAATATGATTTGTCGTCAGTATGTACTTTTGTTTTTTATTTAACTGAGTAATTGTCATGCATTTTATTATTTTTTTAACTGTGAACCATGTTAGTTGTAAAGCGACTGTAGTCTGTCTGTCTGTCTGTTTTCGACATAGAACTTTGCACAAATGTGCGACTGTAGAGAAACTACGAAATGGGTTCGACTCCCAATGGGTGTGTACTGCCGATGATCCCCAAGATGGGATGAAGCAGCTCTCCAGAACTCACTGGTTTTCAATGGTTCTCTAATTGATATCAATCCGTGGTCAAACTCAAATCAATTTTTGAAAAGAATTATAGAACGTGGAAATATTTCACATTCGGATTGGTGTAATGGAACTGATTAGCTTTATTTCAGATAGGCTTCAATTCTCACAGTAAGGATAGACTACATCTTGAAAAGATAGCTTCTGTACCAAAGAATGATATCTTTATTAAACTACCTCCATTCAAGAGTGATCAAATTATGCAGTTGACAACTCGACGACTTCGGCCAGCCATCAAGCACAGATTCTACGCCGCATCTCTTTCCCTCATATCTCGAACATTTCCGATTCTTATACCTACGATTAAAGGACGAAATTCTGTGAACTCTACCTCAAACTGTATCTACAAATTCACCTGCAGTTGCGGTGACACTTATATAGGCAAAAACAATAGAATTTTCCAATGTCGTCGGAAAGAACGCGTCTCAAAATGGTTATTACGCCACAGAAAATCACAATGCAATCAATCTGAATACAAATCTGTCATCATCCATTGCAAAGCACTTATCAATTTTAGGTCACAAAATCAATATTAATGACTACTTCACAATTATTTCACATAGATCTAATTCAAGGTTATTAAAGGTGATGAAAGCACTTTGGATCAATCACACACGTCTTAAACTATGTGTACAAAAAACAATAGACTTCAACCTTCGCCTATCATGGACTACTTGACCTACTTAAATATGATTTGTCGTCAGTATGTACTTTTGTTTTTTATTTAACTGAGTAATTGTCATGCATTTTATTATTTTTTTAACTGTGAACCATGTTAGTTGTAAAGCGACTGTAGTCTGTCTGTCTGTCTGTTTTCGACATAGAACTTTGCACAAATGTGCGACTGTAGAGAAACTACGAAATGATATCATCTCACAAAAGTTGTCTTATAGATGCTTTAATTAAATTTATTATAAAGGAACTAATCGTTTTAAATAAGAAATGATTTAGAAGTGAAAAATCACTCTTTGTGATGTAATACCACTGAGCAGTTCGCATTTACAATCAAATAAGAGATTCGTTTCAGTACCGATTAGTCTTGAAGTGAGCACCTTAGTTAAATAAAAATCTAAAATGCAAACTACTAAGTCTTCTATCTAGTGTCACCCAATTGCTGTCAACTAGCATCACTGATGAGCAACTATTGTTGCGTACATTTGGTCGACTCCAATATTCACAAAGTCTTATGCTAATGCGAGAATATATTCTCCACCAACGAGCACTACATTGTCTTTCTATCTGAAAGCTTTTGAAATTGTTTTCATCACTCAATTCTTTTTGAATTAAAAATTATCCAAAACACAGCTTTCATGTGCCAAGCTAAGAGCCATACGTATTTTTTTATTTGAGCACTGGTGATGCTAATTAGTTGTCAAAACTGAAGTAGGTTGAGCAGGACTCGAACCCAGGACCAATCAACTGAAAATCTAGAGCTTAAACACTGAATCACATCTTCACAAAACGACGTCATTTAGAGTTGAATGTGTAAACGATTACGCACAGATAACTTAAATTGATGGTTTCACAATATGGCAAGTAAGTGGGAAAATGAGAAACAGTCATTATATGTTAATGTCTTAAACACCCCGAGTGCAGTCCGTAACAAATACATCATGTGGTCGCACATTACAGCACAGAAGGATAAATAATGCAACTCAACCTACAGATATCTTGCTGATTTATATAGCGGTTGGAGGTTGAATTAATCTTTGGATAGACAGGTATTTTTAATACAGCACCTAAAAAAATATTTTCAATTTTACTTCGCCTTCTGATTATTCCATAAAAAATTTACTTCTTTCGACAACAGCATTCTTATTTAGTGAATTTCATGTTTGTAGTTAACAAAAATGTCTACAGATATTATCTTGATCCAAGCCTTATATTATCAGCTTAGTTCCAAGTTAGCATCTGAAATATCCCATGGAGTATAGCTTCTCTAAGGCCCTTATTAAAAACATGAATCACATCTCTGACAGGTTCAAAACTAGTCTCTTATTAAATCACTAAGAAAGGAGTTTCCTGACTATAATCCTCATCATATCGTCTAGTTGAAGTCTTGAAGATGACGGACCTCAGTGTATAAAGGAACACAGTGATATGGTTTAAACTCAGCTGTTAGATGGCTGTAGGTATACAGAAAGCAATTTTATTGATTAAAAGTAATCACTTCTTACTCGGATGAATTGGATGCTGTTTTGATGAACGAATTATTATTAACTGGCTTGGCCAAAATATCATCACACGCAGGTTGCAATGAAGCTGAATGAGAAAAACAAAATCAAATACAGAAATGTGACTGCATAAACGTACAACTTATGCTTGTTTTGAAAATATATATTAATAACAATTGAAAAGCTATTCAGAATCATACTGGACTTCCAGTTTTGCAAATCTCAGTCATCTCAATTTCTAAAACATGTTAGCTTTTATGTGATAAAGATTACCAATAAAAGAACAATTATAGTATCTGAATGGGAGTCGTACCATGCTACAGAAAAATCCAGTGGTTTTAAGTTAAGCGGCTTATTGACTCTAGATTAGCATAGTAGTTTCAGTCACCAGGTCCTCAGCTTGAATCCTACCCCAACTGGACCAGCCTGGGAGACTAGGCGGCACCACTGGCTTCCACACACTAGGTGTATGATTATTCATTACCAGGCATATAAAAAATCCATTCCGGAGAACTGAGTTTGTTTCTTTCAAACATAATTAAAACAGAACTAAAAAACATCCCTGCGGTCATTCTTATACAAATTGACAGAGGCATAAGTTTACAAAGTTTAAAAGCAAATTTGGCAAAGGCAATTATCCCATACTGTGTGATTCACCAGAGTTTAACTACTTTGCAACTAAAAATGATAATGGAGATTACCACTAAAATCTATAAAAAATTTCCAATCTACCAAGTTAAATTTGTGCGCTTTATGATAATTGGAAATGTCAATTTATTATTTATGTGAAATGAAGATGACTAGAGAGCGAGAAGTAGGGCATGATAGTGTGATAAAACACCGACATAAGAAAAACTAGTTCCCCTTAAACTATCGATATATATATATATGCCTAGGTAGTAGAAAGAGAGCAGTGAAAAATTTCATCCTAACTATTCTTCATTTCACACATTTAGGCCAAACAAAAGTATGCATCCTATTTTGGCTTTGTTTAACAAGAAAATTATAATACAAAATGTCAATAATTTGGCAAAACAACAATAAATACGAATACGCATATATAGGTGTGTGCATTTCCTCAATGTATCAAGAATTTTTAAATAAACAGATATTTGTGAAGCTGAAGAATTTTGATCAACATGTATCGTATCGGCGTAGATCTATTTCCCAGATAACGACCTATACACTTGTCGAAAATTTTCTGTCATTCGACTAAATGAACTGCAGGCGGTGAAGAACACATGCGATCGCACGGTGCACACTGTAGAGCTTATATAACTTCTAAAACCTGAAGGCGCAGGAGGAATTTAATTCATTCTATAACAATCACTAATATGCCAACATACTATCAAGTCTAAACAACGAAATCTGTACTAAGCAGTTAAACTGTAACGATAGAAGACAAGGGTTAGGCTACAGATCGTTTATTTAGGAAATCAACACAGATTTATAGATTTTCATGTACATTATTATAGATTATTGTAAGCAAACAAACACAGTCTTCTGATTGGTGGTTTCTCGCTGAACGTTAATCTTCCACCTCTTTGGTGGCCGTTTCCTGAAGTTCAGATTATCTATTTGCAAATTGTATCCGCCTACGCAAAGTCTGCTGTGATTGGCTGTTGAGTCAGTCTTTGTTCTTATTTTTTTCATGACCAATTTTGGGGACGTAAACATTGACGTAAATTACTGTCTAGCAATTTTTGGCTAGCAGCCAGCTCTCACCACAAAACTCGTATGATACTTAGATGTGGATTTTGGGGACTTGGTTAGTCTTAAGTTAGATTGTGTAATGAACCGAAATCAATAAAAGAGCCATCGAAAAACATAACCACTAGACAAATGTAGTGTCCTAGTTTAGAAATCTTCAGCGTGCCCGCATTAGGGATCCCGTCCAGGACCTTACGACTCCAAGACAGACACGTTTATCATCTAAGTAATGGATTAGATCTCTTACTTCTATCAATTCACCAAATATTGTTACTGTCAGCACCACCATCCAGTGTCACGGACTGACTGAAGTCAGAATTTGTAGGTTATTTGATTCTAATTAGGTGATTGGACCATAAATATGCCAGTGTTTTCAGTGGTTATTTAACTAATGTCAATCCATCACGAAATCACACAAGCTTAACTGGAAAAAAGTCGGTGGTTCGATGGTAGAAAGCAAGCCAATCACACACGTGATCGGGTGCGTATCACGGCCGAGTCATTCCTAAACTTCACTGTCAGTACAAAGTCCCGTAAAGAGGAGAGGTTGGTTGTGAGACTAGCAACCCTACCCCGTAGAAAAAACACCACCACTACTGAAATTTCAAAGCTCAATCTCAGAACCCTACGTTCTATTTGAAACCCAAAGTATTGGAGATTTATGCATATATATATATATATATATATATATATACACATTTACCTCACCGAGCCAGAAATAATGCTGGTAAAGAGGAAAGGTTGGGCATGAGGCTAGCAAACCCATCCTGTAAAAATTAAACACTGCTACAGAAACTTCAAGCCACTAGCTTGGAGCCCTATGTTCCACTGGGAACGTGAAGGAAAAATTATTATTTTATATATATACATATTACCTTGATTTTTTGAATCGTTTGATGTCACTTTGGAATTTGTTGAATCAGAAGTACTATTCATAAAATTTCCATCTGTTTTTACAGGAGATTCTTCAAGGGGATCTATTTGACGTCGTTCTAAAGCTTGTAGTTTAGCAGTTAATTCACTAAGATCAGTATGAAAACTGCTATTTGAATAGGAATGTGAATTAGAATCATCTGTGACTGTAATTCTAGACGTCATTGGTGAAAATGCTGATATACCACCAAAATCATTAATAGTCAATGAACTGCCAACATTAAAACTTCCTGTACGACTTAATGACATAAGCGATGCAATTGAAATCATGTCTTCATCACTAGACAAAAAAAAAGAAATAATTCGAAAAAAACAAATTTAGGCGTATATCAGCGTAATGAAAAGCGTTAGGAAAAAAACATCAGAAAAAATATATATTTATTTCACATGAACATACACACTGCCTCATTATCTAGTTAGGAAAAACTTTCCCAAATAACTTTGATGTACAATAAAACTAGTTTCAAAAGCATTTTATCGAAACAGAAGTAAATAATAGGTGTATTTTTACAAATTATAGTAGTGAGTCGTTTTTTCGACGCATACAAGAATGAGTTAGCTAGGCTTACTTTTAATGCACAGACTTCTATAGTATTTTATTGATGGTAACCAGCAGTGGAATCAAAGGTACACATCCTATTCTACTTGACAATCATCAGCTGAATACATCTACAATATCCTGAAACATTAATTCATCCAAGAGAATAAATAACCTTTTTGAGTTTGAAATGGTGAGTCCTGGATTTGACATTATCACTCATGAAGCTACCAGTATATTTGAGGCGAAAATGGGGTGAAATGTGTGAACTAAGTTCCATCGCCAGGTATCATCATGAAGAAAAAACATCAAGATGAAATTCCAAGTATCTGTTCAAACTGCCCAACATGCCAGTTTAGTCCAGTACAGTTTACATGAAGTTAAAGGCAACAATCAATAAAAACTTTCTTTTAATTTGAACAACTTTAGGAGTAATTATATCATTATACTCAAATACAGATCAAATGCAGAATAAATGAATATATATATGTATATATATATATATATATATACTATCAACGTGAATTATATCAATTCATATTTTATACAGATAACCTATTTCCTTGATATGAAAACTACATTGGAAAGAAAATATTCAATATCATATGAAGCTCACAAGCTAGTGATTATTGACAATCTTTGAAACTAATTTTCTTAGTTCCGAGTCATGCATCGATCAAATCGCAACATTGAACAAAGCTTGGAATGGCAGTCACCTCTCTATCTCAACTTCATCGACTTTGAAAAGGCCTTCGACAGCGTCGATCGAGAGGTCATTTGGAAACTACTTCGCTACTACGGGGTCCCATCGACAATTATACACCTCATCCAACAGTTATACGACAATGCTGCATGCCAAGTAATTCACAACGGGAAACTTACGGAAGCCTTCGAAGTGAGGACGGGAGTGAGGCAAGGCTGTCTACTATCACCAATGATCTTCCTGATTGCAATCGATTGGATAATGCGACAGACAACGTCAACCAACGAGGGAACAGGCATAAAATGGACTGACACAAAAGACTTGGAGGATCTGGATTTCGCCGATATATGTCTGATTTCCCATAAACTGGAAGATATGCAAGTGAAAAGTAACAAGTTGGCAGAAGAAGCATCAAAGATAGGACTTCACGTGAACATAGATAAAACAGAGATGATGAAGATTCCTTGCCAACATCAACAGCAACAACAGACCACAATAAGCATAAATGGGAAGAACCTGAAAGAAACAACCTCCTTCACCTACCTGGGAAGCATCGTCTCAACTACAGGCGGAACTGACGAGGACATCAAAGCCAGAATCTGAAAAGCAAGACAAGCTTTCATTACTCTCAAGTCTGTGTGGAGGTCAACAGCACTCACCATCAAAAATAAGATCCGGATTTTCAACTCCAATGTGAAGTCAGTGCTACTATACGGATCAGAGACTTGGCGAGTCATAAAGAGCATCTCAAACAAACTTCAGACCGTCAACAGCTGTCCTCGCTCAACACTCAAGATCAGATAGCCAGCCAGAAAAGATCAACAACAGGGATCTCTGGGAGCGAACCAACCCACAGGAACCGATTGTGCAACAAATCTGCAGGAAGAAGTGGAGATGGATCGGTCATACTCTGAGAAAACCATCAAGTGAAAACACACGACAGGCTATCGCTCGAGTGGAACCCGAATGGAAAGCGGTGAGTTGTTTTTCACTGCTAGGGTGACATGGAGGCGATCATGTAAAGAGGAGATGGAAGCATGTGGCCAGACGTGGAAACAGATGAACAGGTTGGCAGGAAACTGAACGCAATGGAGACGTGCGGCAGAAGCTCTATGTTCCTCTAAGAAATAAAGAGGACATTAGTTCCGCGACTACCATCAAGAACAGATTCAAATACATATTAGTTGGTAGCAAATACATCAACTAACTAAGAATTTGTTGATTATCACTTATCCTTTTTCCAACTAACTAAATGACTATATATATACGCATTAGTATTATCTAATGACAATGTTCGGAATATAATCTAAGTAATACAAATGTTTTTATAACTGAAAAAAATGATTCTATGTTGCTTTCTCTTTTTGTTTTTTTGTTTATTTCTATCAACAGCTTACCACTGACGATGATTATAGAGTAGAATAATTCCTTTTTAGAAAAGAAACAGGCAACACGAATATCGATTGATGATCATTTGGAAAATAACCTATTTCGTCTATCCAGGATATACACTGCTCATCTACTTTCTATTTGAAGCGAAATGTGAATCTACCTTTGTATGTGTATTTGGTTAGAGAACTACTACTAATAAAACAAAGTAAATTGTTCTAGTACACCATGGCATAGTCTATTTACTTACCAGTGCTACCAAGACAAGAAGTGAAAAATTAGATTCTTACAAAAAATTATTCTTTCTTTCAAACTGCTTAAGCGACAAATAAATGTTAAGTCAACATTTTCCGTGACTGTGCTCTACTGTAATAAATCAGCATTCAATATGGTTAGGTGATACAAAATAGTGATTCTTGTTAAACCTAGTGGATATGATGGATAGGGGTCTAGGAAATTGGTTAAATCCTGATTTCAAACCATTTGTAAACATACAACTTATGACTGAAACGGAAATAATAACCTATGAACATAATTTTTAACTACACAGACAATCAAGGAAACAAAACTGCTTTGTAGATGCGGATTGTATTTGAAGACTCAAGAAATGATGCATTTGGGGAGGGAGAGTAAGTGTTGATATTTTCATGTGTGAATTTCTCAGTATGATCTTTATTATTTACATAAGAAAAGATGTGAACAGCGAAGAAAATTTCCTTGTCGACGGTTCATTCTCATAAGCTGTACAACCGTAATTATTTTTAACAAAGAAATAATACAACCAATCAGATAATGGTAACATTTGTCCTCAAAAAAACGCATTACGTAATGTAATGTAAGGTGTATATGTGTAAAACTTGGGCCCTGTAGTAGTAAGTAATTCCATATTAGTTTATTTATCAGATGTATCACACAGTGGAACAGTATTATTTACTGGATGACGAGATTTCGAACAAAATTTATTGTTCATAATCATATCAATTTTTGTCACACGACTTCGAAACTTGAATTTTATAGTTTTCTTTGTTTTCTCCTATTTGTCGTAGGGGTAGTAGAATTTTCCAGATATCTGGGGCAGGTGCTGAATCATTCCTATTACATGTATTTGCAGTTGATTTGATAAACAAAGCTTATGTTATCAATCTCTCCCTCCACCCTGTAACATTAGATTTTAAAACTGTCATCTTATCCCATCCTATTGTATGGTTGTGTGTAACTGCATGTAGTGCTTGCGATAGCTAAACTATTCTCTAGATTTCTTATCTTATTTGGGTCAACCAATCTAGATTTTGCTAGGTTTTTATGTTCGGCTAGTCTGACTGCCCGTGTTCTACTAGTTTGACCTATGTATATGACCTGACAATCATTGCAGGTAGGGTATTAGATAAACTAAATTGTTTTGTTTTAAAGGCTCCACAGGATCCTTTAACCGACAAAGCTTGTTTCTAAATGAGTTTGTGGGTTTGAATGCCAGCCACTTTTATTCCTGCCTTGTTAAGAATTCTGAGTAGGGTTTCCGAGGTTCTTTCCTTGTATGGAATTACTACTGATGATTTAGATTCCTTATTGTTGGTGTCGTCATTAATATCAATATTGAAAACATTTATTTCCCGATATGAACTTAGAACAAGCAATAAAGGTTAATAAAGCAGGATTTAATGGATTCATCAAATTTCGGTAGAACTCGTCAGCCGAATACTCCACACGGATATATATACTTTTGAAATTACATTGGAAGATATAAGACTGGCAAGTAAACACACTACTGCATGACTAATTCAATGTAGTTTGTTTACTTATCAGTCTTATATCTCCCAATGTAATTTCAAAAGTATATATATCCGTGTATGTAGAGTATTCAGCTGACGAGTTCTACCGAAATTCGATGAATCCATTAAATCCTGCTTTATTAACCTTTATTGCTTTTTTTAAATATTATTATTATCACTATTATTACCATTATTATTGTTATCATTATTATTATCACTATCTCTACTATCATTATTTATTTCATTTTTATATTTCCTTACATATTTCCTGACTAATTTATTATTATTATTATTATAATTATTAAGTTTCAAGGCTTCTTTTATGTGTATCACTTCTTGTCTTAGGTTTCCCTTGGTACTACTTAGTTTTTGTGCTCTGTTGCTTAAACATTTCACCAATCCTATTTTCACTGACATACAGTGGGATGATCGGAAGTCCGAATATCTGTTTGAATGTGTGGGCTTCCTGTAAGAACTAGTGTTTAAATTGCCATCTTCTGTCCTTTTTACGTTGCAATCTAACATTGGGAGTTCCCCTTCGAGTTGATGTGTTCGAAAAATCTGTCTATCTTGCGTTCTAGTACAGTGAAGGTGTCATCTGCATACCTCTACCATACTTTTGGGGTGGGGGTGAACGTTTCAGTCGCTATGTTTTCCCATCTATCTATGAATATATCTGCTACAATCGGGGATATTGGTGATCCCAAGGCAAATCCCTCAGTTTGTATATTTTCCCTTGGAATTTAAATACTGTGGAAGTCAGGCATAAAAGATTATTATTTACACTTTTACAAGCAAATCGCTTACCACAATTAAACATCATACAAAGTTAGCTAGTGATACTTTAAGAGGTAATTTAATGAACAACACCATGGTGCTGATCATTAAGATTAACAAACTGTCTCGTCTCTATGAGTTCCCTAAAACTTTTCAACACCAGAAAATTTATCGCAATAAACAGTGATACCACTAGTTTATTTAGAACTTGAAGGCAAGGGGAAACCTGAAGAAATAAGCGAGTGAGATGTCACCAGCGAAATAAACTAATATTAACCAGAAGCTGTTTTAGTTCGTCAATATTAGAAAGATTATGACAGTGAGACAGGCCGCTATGAAGATAATTTTTTGATCAACTAACACCGAATTAGAAGATGCCAACAACACTAGACCGGATATTCTGAAAAGCATTTTAGTTAACTAAGTGCCGTAACCGCAATATGAAACTAAATTATATTATACACGGCTATTCATAACAAATTTATCGATAACTTCATAATGCTGTATAAAACAACTCACGTAGAATGAGATTAAACAACTACTTCTGACCACTGTTCCAACTGGTATCCGAGAAATTTTGTTACACTAATATTTTTAGTTTGCTAACTAAGACACTCTTCTTCTAAAGGTACATAGTAGCATAGATGGACTTTCAGTATGTGGACAATAGGTTAGAAAAGTATCTTAAAAGTGTTGGTTTGTAGGGATTTGATTGGTTTCAGGATTTCATCATGAGCTGACATTAGTTAGAGAACCATTGGAAAACCTGGGAGTACTGGACAGCTGTTTCGTCCTAGTTTGGGACTCTTCATCAGTACGCATCCACCGGGATTCGAACCCAGGACCTTCCGGTTACAAGGCGAGCTTGTATACCATTAAGCCACTGGGACCCGATCCAATGGTCCTTGAATTCTAACTTCTGCCAATTCACGACATTGGCTAGCGGTCGCGCTATGTCGTGAATTGGCAGAAGTTAGAATTCAAGGACCATTGGATCGGGTCCCAGTGGCTTAATGATATACAAGCTCGCCTTGTAACCGGAAGGTCCTGGGTTCGAACCCCGGTGGGTGCGTACTGCTGAAGAGTCCCAAACTAGGACGAAACAGCTGTCCAGTACTCCCAGGTTTTCCAATGGTTCTCTAACTAATGTCAGCTCATGATGAAATCCTGATATCTTAAAAGTGTTTTACAGATAGATAACAATTAACAACTAACGTGGCATCGCCTTCCTTTATAATCATCGAATTTAGTGTAAGCAGGACGATTGCAGATGTTAACTTTTTAGAAGCCAGACGCATAACCACTTTGAGATTTGTTTGAACGGGTAAATTTGAAGCAAATTCAGCCAAATCAATTTGCCTTGTAGCTAATACACGTCGTCTAGAGGATGTTGCAGACCCAGAAAGTAAACCCGTACCTTTAGGTCCGACCTGAAGATAAAAAAGAACAAAAGTGTTGATCACACGATTGAAAATCCATGACTAAGAAGTTTTTAAAAATCGAACGCTTCTTTTAAGCAAATGAAACAGTTTCCGTAAGATTAGTTTGTCTTAATAAAGCGTAGGTAACAACAGATTTCAAAAGATAAATAGGACCCCACAACAATTTAGCGATCCCACTTTTTCTCTTGGATTCGATTATGTGTATTTGTTTTATATATTATCTGCCTGAATGGCAGAAATTCAATAATGTATATTTATATTCAATAACGTACTGAAGAATCAATCTAAAAGCATGGAATAAATTTTAACTAGCCGAAATACGTTGAATCCAACTCATAAAATTACGATGTTATTTGTCAGTAGACTGACTTAACAAGAAATGTATATTGTAACGAAAGAAAACAATAGACTTGGTAACGAATCTTTATTAAGGAAAAACATCAAGTTTATACATTTTTAGTCACATTAAAGTCCGGCTAGGTCACAAGAGAATAAATTGTTCTGACTGGTCGGCAATTGGACCAAGGTTAAATAAGTTGAGTAATGAGGCTATTTCATGTCCACAACGTAAACTAAATCCAGATTTGAGGAATAAACACTTCTAACTACGCTGCAGCTATTGACTTAAAATGCTGATTTCAGTTTTGGCCGTTTCCTATCAATCTGCATCACACTACAATATAATCTTGATGGTAAATAGCTAGGGCCCCAGTGAAATTACACATATATGAGATACTGGCATACTCAAAAGAGTTACTTATTCGGAATGCTATAATGAACTGTCCTGTCGCCAAATTTGAAGATGTAACTAATTACCTCAAGGAAAATAATCCTGCAACCATTAATCATTATTTGACAGAAGAAATTATTGCTATAGTGAGAAATAGCAGGAATCACAGGCTGTTTATAGAGCCTTACAAATTACCTTCACCTGGAGTGAATTATATGAAATGCAGAAAGCTGTTTGAATATATATATATATATATATATATATATATATATACTAGAAACAAAAGCCATTTGGAAGAAAACATACTGGATAAATATCTGAAATTCCAAACACATTTCTACCTTCGTCCTTGATCGGATTTTAGGACCAGTGTCTGATTATTTAAAGAAACTAAAGTGGGATGACTGTGTAGTGGGTTTACCTTAACATATGAAATCTCAGCCAATCAACATCAGTGGTAACGGGACGTATATTCATCACCAAATGAACTCTCAGCTATCATTGAAAAATATGACGTCACGTCAATAAATTCAATTATCGAAACAAACGTGCGTCTGTGGCACAGCGGTAGATTGCTCACCAAACACGCCTCATGTGGTCCAGGGTTTGATCCCCGGCCGACACACTCCTTCACCTCACTGAGACTGCAATAAGACTGAAAAAGAGGAAAGATTGGGCATGAGGCTAGCAACCTTATCCCGTAAAAATAAACACCACTACTACCGAAACTTCAAGTCTCTAGCTTGAAGCCGTATGTTCCACTGGGAACGTAAAGGAAAAAAAGGGAAGAAACAAACAAACATATCACACTAAGTTGACAGATATTTAGATCCGAGGTGTGTGTATATTGACAAATAAATAAGAGTGCAGAAAAAACAATAAACGCAATCAATTATCACTTAATAGTATATCTATAATATTACAGAAGTGGAATTTTTCACTGATTTCATTCATCTACATCTTTAAGAATATAGGAAAATCGTCTACAGGAAGAAGATAGAACACAACTATGAATAAGTAATCAAATAATCAGCTTACTTAAAAAAATAAATAAAAGATTCAGTACTTACATCTTCAATCTGACATATCCATTCTTTTTCTTCATACTGTATTACTTTTTCACTACGATATAAGGTAGTAACAAATTCTACATTTTCTGGCATTGACCATACATATTTAAATGAATTCGAATCATCTGATGTTTTAGTAGGTTCAAATGCCTATAAATTAATCCGTTGAAGAAAGTAAACACTGAAGTAATATAAAGCCGCATTACATGCATGTCTTTTGATTAATTGAAAAAATCAGGTGTCAAAACTGGGATTTTGTCAAAATTATGGGTTAACATTCGATTATTTTATGAAAGCAGGACTTAACAGGTCACCAGTTGACCAAGTCTTGGTGTAAAAAACACTGCTGCTTTACAAATGACACGAAAAGACTACCACATTCAACGACTAAACATTCTCTAACAACGATATTACCTTCTGATCTCATACTGAATTATAGTTCTAACTATAAAGAAGTTGGTGGTTAACGCCTTACTCAATATAAATGTGTAATTTGATCAGTCTGCATCTGAAAACAAAAGAAACAATACAGTGGATAATCTTGGATAATACGGAGTGATATCGATCTCATTAACTAGAGTACATTCACTCGAAAACAGTGGAGAAGATTCGCAGCTCGGGTGGATGCTATCGGTATTGTTGCGTTCCCTGATACATGTGGTTTAAACAAGAAGCTTTCATTGTCTTTCTAGACACCTTTAATACTGATTTTAAAATTATATAAGCTTTTACAACTCTCCACTACAAGTGAATATGTCAATTTAAAAAACTCAAGATACAACCAATCACAGACAAGATCACTAGGAAAGATGGTTATTACACCCAGAGAGAATTAAAAAGCCTCACTTCATTTTAAACTTAATGCTGAAAGTATCCAAGATTATGGGAATCGAGCAATCTGAATATCCAGCTTAGGAGCGTAAAGTAACTAAAGACGCACTCACTCTATATTTTATTAAACAGACTATAATACTCTAGTTAAATTTCGCCAAAAAATGACTTTTGGGACTCGTCAGTCTAACTGGACTTATTATTCATTTTGGTCCAGTAAAGCCAAACTACAGAAAATTCAGTTTCAGTAGATAACAACAGATATCTCTTGCACAATTTTTGGCATACATGGTTTTGCAATCAAGTGGACAACGCTTCGATCCTAAATGAGACCGAACTCGCACCAAGAATCTTAGTTTTAATCACCACCTATCAAATAACAATAAGCTGAGGATAAATGAATAGCCATAAGGTCCGCTTGGATAGATAATATACCAGAAACTGATCTTTTAGGTCTAGTAAGTAGAAAACAACAGGAAATCAAAAAGCTTTAAAACAATCATACATGCATTCGATTCTAATGGAGTATAATTCTTATATACATTCCAACAAATTAGTGTACAAACTGTTTGGAGATTTTAGAGCTTTGAAGTCTGATAGTAAACATTTCATTGACTTATTTCCATATTCAGTACTTAATTAAGAAGCGTGGAACAATTGCCAGTAAAAATAATAAAAATGATCAAATGACATAGAGTGAATTCAAAACTTCATAAAAGCATTCGAAAAAAACTTGAATGTGCGAGGAGAACAAATCGATTGAAAAATATTCATGCAAACGAAGAAAGGTGGACTGTACAAATCTGCCAACATTCAGTAGAATTTGCTGTCTCAGTAACACATAATTCAACCTCAAATTAATGCATATACATACACCATAGTGTCAGTGTCACAAAAAATACCAGTTACCTTAGATGAATATCGACGACTTCGACGAGACCAAACCAAAACTAAACTCCCAGGGTGATATTGGCGCGAGCATTCGATATTTAGTTCATGTAAAGAAGCAGTGATTTGAAATTTCGCTGCCTTCTTCCCAACTCTCTGCAATCTCCGCCAGACACTCATTTAAAATTGAAGGTATTTTAGAATCTGAAATCATAGAAAGATGTACGTCTCACATCAGGTCAAAACACTCCTAAAAACTGAATTGACGGTAAAAAATTATATCCACCAGTGAAATTTAGCTTATCCCCACAAGGATCATGTCAAACACATGAACCCACTTCATATACTCCACTGAGTGTAAGACGATACCTCCTAATTTCATAGCGCATGCTTAACCCATTCGTTAGAAAATGAACTTGAGCATGGTTACTCAGCATTCCTCGGTAAGATATCCATATTAATTACTTAATTTATTCGTGTGTAAGTTTCTCCTAGTGTAACTGAACAAGTTATCAAAGTGACTTTTCTTTATCGAACACAAAATATTCGAAATTCACGATAAATACAAGAGCCTCCGAAAAATTAAAAAATTCCTTAAAGAAAATCATCGTAGTTTTAAGCGGTAAAACAGTGTTGAAGAAGTGACGCAAAAGTGTGTTATAAGAAAATGATGTAACTACAGTTTCAGTTGACTTCATTAAACATTAATGATGAAGATGTGCTTCATTAGCTTCGGTACTTGACTTCCAGTATGTCCAGACTGGGATCCCGCTTCATCCAGTTAAATCTAGGTGACTGAGAAGTATCGACAATCCCCACAGCAAGTGAGGATCATAATCTAATACTTAGCTTTTTAAATGAATTCCCCAGACTCTGAGCCACATTTACTGTATAAAAAAGAAAGTTATCTGTTTCTTTTTTACTTTTTACTTTACTTCGGCTATCTCCTACGGGAGGATGAGCCGGCTTCATGAACCATGAAGTTTCATGGGAATTGGGTACGAGTGATGTCCCCAGCATCGCTCGGCCTTTTGTTTGAGAGTGCAGCTCTAGCCTTTACACAACCAAGTGTGACCTACAAGGCAGTAGGAGTGGAGTAGGGAGTCCACTATCCATTGGCAGCCGGTGACCGGAGTCCGGTTCATTCGCCTTTTTGAATGGGGCCAGTCATCCAGGGCATCCAATAAGCCCTTTGTCCATACGTCTGCCGGTGAGCTTCATACGCCAGTCGTTGGAGGTTTGGAATCAGGGTTTAGCCATCTCCCCTAGACTGTCATCCAATGGACAGTCAACCCGGTGAAGAGCGCCGGGCATCCGCTTTTGCCCTCTCACTTTGGTGAAAAACACCTCCGCCACGTGAAGGCAGTGAGTAGGACTTCCTCAGGAGAGGCTATGTAAGACGCCTGGTCATATGGGAGCATTTCAAGAGGTGTACGGAGGGGTGGCCAACCCGCATCGCAAGACACCCACCCCCGACCATCCTGAGGCTTTGGAGGCTGTTTCTGGACAGCGATAAATCTAAACATTATTAGGAGCACTATATCACCTGCCGATAGACAACATCAAATCAACGATGAACACAAATGAACTACTACGATATCACTTACCGATAGAGTAGGTTAGCAGAAGATAGTCGTTATTTTAGGAGCGTTCTTGTTCACTCGCATCACGCGGCAGCCTGCAGAAAAATAGGCGCATAACTACATAGCCATGAAACAGAAATAACAGCAAAGCTCTATCGTGTCTAGAACTCAGATGGACATATCGCGTCTGTATTTAGCAAGGAAATAACTGAGCACTTATCTAGGTATGACAGTAATAATCCTGACCCTAACCCTGACCCCATAAATAGTCTGCTAAAGAAATACGGGTTTTTTTTCTTCACGTTCCTCAATGGAACATAGGGCTTCAAGCCAATGGCTTGAAGTTTCTGTAGCAGTGTTTATTTTACAGGATGGGGTTGCTAGCCTCATGCTCAACCTTTCCTCTTTACCAGGATTATTTCTAGCTTAGCGAGGTAAAGGAGTGAGTCGGTCGGAGATCGAACCCAGGGCCATATTTATGGTCGGCAAGCGTCCTAGTCGCTATACCACCGACGCACAAAGAAATACGGGTGATTATTAGTAGTCAGTGGATTTCTGTATTTTCATCGGAACTGCAGGTCAGAGATTAATTCCAAACCGAACGATAAGCAAAAACGACTTAAATGTGGGCTGACTAAAAGTCTTCTCAACAGCGGCGGGTAAATGGAGGATGCAATAAGACATCATAACTACGTTATATCTATTGACTGGTTAGATTTACTAAATAAATAAGTCTTAAATCTACCATGGTAAATGAAACGACTACTGAGAAGGATGAAATTTTATTAATTTCCAGTGACAGAGAACTGGAAAGTTTGGCGAAACTCTCAGAACAGTTCAACTGGCGTGAATCTGTAACACAACATTCCGCCATCAAACCCGAAAAGGATTTACGAGTGTGTCTCAATTGTGGCTAAAATTGCGGTGGCTGTTTCTACTCTGAAACCAGGCAAAGCAACAGGACCTTACGGACCGGCTCCAGAAGAACTTATTGGTGGGAAGTTGAACATTTTTTCTATGAAATATAAGAAAGTGCCATTTTGTGTCGGAACATAAGAGCCTCGTTAAAGCGGTGTACTTTGTCGCTCATTCTCTTTATGAGGAGTGAACAAATCTTCATGTGATTATAGGAAAGGCGTATAGTATCTAAAATCTTAGAAGGTATACTAAAAAGTAGATTTTAGTTGAGATACAAACCCTGAGGAAATTAGGCGGGTGCACTGGTAAAATCTTTATCTCCCGACAGGTTCTTGAACACTAGCATACTTATCGGTACCTGACTCATGCCATTTTTCCACCCAATAGCGTAATTCCATACCATCAAGGTGTTCAGGAAACGCCTGGTTGTGAAGGGAATGTTAAGGAGAAAGCCGACACCAATTAGGGCACGTTACTTGAAACAGTACAATCATGCGCGAAATTATACAAAATGATGGGAACCCCATGTGTCTATCACGGATAAAAAGGGTCTCTACCTGTTTACTTACTGAGGATATACCAAAGAATGGTCTTGGTTACCTCCAACTACCAGTTGATTACGAGTAATCTGGGAGGATGCTTTTCCTCACCAAGATGATTACAAAATTTACACAAATCCAGGCAAGATTTCCCGCTATCGAGTGTTATAATAGTAAGGTACCTAGTGACACTTTTGACCCTGACTGTATTTACTCCGTACATGCAATGTTTTCCCGCATAATTATGCACAGCTCGAAATTCCTTTAGCAATAATTTAGTGTATTGAAATTATCTTATGAACTAACATACGTCTACCTCGAATATCAAAAACTGAACAAATCCCAAAACTAGAAAGATGTCGGGAACATGATCATAGAATTAGGTGTGTACAACACAGAATAAGGCAAGCAGTTGCATGGTAGAAAAATGACTTTCACTAGAATTCTTCACGACAATTTACTTAATGTGATACCATAATTTCACGATCCACGTCGTTTTCACTCGGAAATATGCCAAATAAATTTGCTTAAAATATATCGGTCATAATGCTTACTTTTCCAAGTACTTCATATTGCTAATTCCTGATAAATCCGGGAGATTAGGCTGGGTAACCAGTTAGTACCGACACATTGTAATAAGGCGCGGCGAACGGCTTCATTTTTATTTTTTTTTTATTTTTTATTTTTGATTACAGCTTGATTCCACACCGTATTTTTGGGACAGGTGTGGAATTTTCAGCGTGGATATCGGTAGCCCAAAATTCGCAGGCCGACCATAGATATCAGGTGTGCGTCGGCGTGGGCTCGAACCCCGGACCATGTGCATGGTCGACGAGAGTCCTAACCACTGTGCCACCGACGCACATGTTGAAAGCATCACTAATGTACATCCTGAAAGTATCCTACATTTACCTGCTGCGATTTTCTGGTCTAATGTAGCATTCTCATCCGTTCGATAATAGTCAGAATACAGTTATGGCTTTCAAAAACCACTAAGAAAATGAAAACACTGAACGATATGTTCATTAACTGCTTGCAGGAATACAGAGTTCATTATGAGATGCTTCAATATAAATAATTTAAAACTTTATTCTTCAGTTTAGAGAACAAGGCGTACCACAAGGGAATATTAAACCATATGACAATGTCAGTAAATACAATTAGATATCATCATAAGCTGACATCAGTTAGAGAACCAGTGGAAAACCTGGGACTACTGGGCAGCTTTTTCATCCTATTTTGCGACTCTTCATCAGTACACCCCCACAGCCAAGGTTCTAACCTAGGACTTTCTGATTACAAGGTGAGTTCGTAGACCATTGAGCCATTGGGACCCGATCCAATGGCCGGCCCATCAATACTAACTTTTGCCAATTCACGGCATAGTGCGACCATTTCGCAATGTCTTCGATGAATTACTGCGTCATCCTTAACCTGCTGTACCCGATTTGTCCCGGCTTTCCACTAAAACAGCAGAACTGTCTGTCCGTGCGGACTGGAACACATGGTGGTCAATTTAATTTTCAACTGACAAGAGCTGTGATGCTTCGTGGTGGTGTAATTATCTACTTGTACACTGTCTACAAATTACCCTCAAAACATCTTTCAGCAGTCATAACTGTTATATTATCCCTTCGCTAGTTGGGGTGGTGCTAAGAGCAGTCTCGCCACCTCATCAGATGGGCCAGGCTGAAGAGACAGCAGGTAATGTGGATAGAGTTCAGGTCTTGCAGGATTGATAGTCATATACCAGTGGTGACAGTTATTTCTGGTTGAAGCCAAATAGAAGCGACTCCGAGCCTGTGCAAGCAACATAACTTGCTGGTTCCTGGATAGTCTCCTTAGACCTCTTTAGAGTTAGATTTGAGGAGCATATTTTCCGGCGTAGGCGTATTCGTGGGCTTTAAAACTCCATGATATATTGCAAGAAATGACAATGGGATACTTTGGGTAAATTTTACATGCTACTGTTGAATAATTACATAACATATAATCCTGGGTATTTCCACCATTAAAATAATAATAGAGGAGAGCATTAATCAAAAGAGGCATTATAAAAGCTTAATATGCCAGCATGTTCATCACCATCTAAAGCCTCAGAAGTCAAAAGAAAGATAACTCACAAACAAAAATTTAATCA